CAACAGAACAAACAACAACAACAACAGAACAAACAACAACAACAACAACAGCAGCAACAACATAACAAACAACAGCAACAACATCTGAGTGACCATGAAAAACAATAACAGCAACCATATCTACTGAAACTATTACAACTAGCTAGATATCTTTTGATTGATAAACAGATTATTTTAATACACAATTTATAATATTTTAATGCTAAAAATTTTGTAGATGATCTAAACCATATATTAATTTAGAAATTTTTTTTTCGAAAATAAATTTGATAAAAATTGTTTTTATTGATGTTTTCTAAAGGAAAATTTTATTGAGGAAATTTTCATAGAAAAAATTATGTTTAAAATATAAATCAATGATATTTTATAATTTATTACAATCAATTCAATGCAATTAGTTTTATTGATAGTGATTTTATAATATTGAAATAAAGATTAGATTTCATTTCTGATATGTAAACGAAAAGCGTGATTAATATTAGCAGTAATTGATATTCAATCAATATGATAAGAACAATTTTAGATTTTTATTTCATCAACTTTGATCGATTTAATGATTTTTTGTTTTGCTAGATAGTTTGATAAAAAATTAATAACAATTATTTAACACATTATACTTGAATAATTGTTTATAATTATTAGAAAAGAATGGATTCACTATCTTTTATTTATACATGATAATCATTATGTAATATATACATAATTAATTTCTTATTTTATATTTGATTTGATGGTTATTATATTATTTCTAGTACGAACAAAATCTTTCGACGGATATCGAAAGATTTTGTATAATATTTCGATGTTTTCGTATGATTTTTAGTATTCTTGTAAAAACAACCTAAACTATAAAATGTCCGTGCAACCTCGGGATGCTTTCAAAATAAATTAGCTTGTTGCACCTGTGGAGTTTTGGTATGAAATTCTAAAGCTAAATTACTTTCCTTCACTTGATGATATGTGGCAACCATAGCGTTATACATTTAAGCATTGATATTTTGAAGTGATTTTGATTCGTAACTAACCATGGAAATTAATGTACAGCCTTCGACTTTATCACGAATCGTTTAAGCTGTGGCAATTGCTGTGATCAGATCAGAATCATGAACAAATATACCTTTAAGTTTTTTATTTATTTCGGCAAGATATATATCATTCTAAAAATTCAGAAAGTGAATGAAGTAGAGGAACGATATATCTTTTTAATGAATCAAAAACAATGAGAGCAACTTTTTCATGACAAATCTGTTGAGTATATTGTTCACTATTGTTGAATGTTTGATGATAATTCATGATTTTTTGAAGTTCTTGTTAAGTTAATATCTTGATCGAGTCATGAACAGGCTACTAACTTGACTTGCTAATTGTATATTAGAAGCCACTTTGAAAATTGAAATAATAGAATAGTGTAATCATATTAATTTTGTGATTTTTGATCGATTGAAAAATAGCGACTAATTCTGCAAGCTATATTTGAATGGATTATTATCATCATAATTGATATTTGTTACGGTAGCGTAAAATAAAAGAACAATATTTCCATTGATTCTAGAATGATTTCATATATGAAACATATGTGATAGATAATAAAATTTTCACTTTTAGTTCTTACATAATTTACTTAACCTTTAGTAAATGTCTCCTATCAAATTGTATGTTCTATCTCTAATATATAGATACAATCAATACATACATCATGACTATGCTTATATAAACTATTATTTTGTTTTAAATCATCTTATCAAAAAACTCTTCGTGGAATATTGAAGATAATCTAAATAATTTGTACATTATCAACTGATTATTAAAACTTCGATGTTTGAATTCTTTTTGTGATGAAATGTATCTTGGTTTTCATATGTTATTCATACGTATTCGTATAATATCGTGGTTTTACAATATGCTAAGGGGTATTTTATATCGTGTCAGCCTTCTTGTTATTCTCAAATTACACCCGTGTGTTCATTGTTTCTCTCGTTTTTATAGAGTAATATTTTTTTTCATCGTTTATTATAGATCTATAAACAATTGTTCCGTGAGAATTTACAATATCACTGTTAGAATAAAATAAAAAAATAAATCATTTCATCAGTCACAAATTTTGTTTTTCGATATATTGATCTTTGGACACATTTTATATATCTATTGTTTTTTCTTATATCAAAACAAATAAAATCTTGCTTTTGTAATCTATTATAGAGCAACGAATTATTTGTTATTCCTTTGGGTATAGAATATCAAGGTTAAACTTTATTGTAAGGTGATATTTCTTATAGGACAAAACACATATTGTTCTTTTCTTTTGCACTTAATCAACTATAGATTTATCTATGAAGGTTATAAATAAATTTTTCTCTATTTATTGATTCATTTTAACGTAGACATGCTTCGTCGTCAACTGTTTTTTTATTTCGTAATATTTTGTATATTATTTTCGTTAATCAATTGCAAAAGTCAATGTTCATGTTCATGTTGTAAGGGTAATGGATGTGTAAAGCGACATCAAGGCTTTATCAATATGCCAACATGTTCAGCAACAAGTTGTAAGAATGCTTGTAAACTTCGTCATCATGCTCAATGTGCTGGAACACCTGGTTCAATATTAGCAACATGCACAAAAACAAAAACATCTCATCGATTATCACCAACAAAAAAGATTAAACACAAAACAAAAATATCATCATCTAACAAACATACTAATCGTCGTACTTAATAAATTACGAAGAAGATCAATATTAATATTAGAGTACTTTTTATAATAGTATAGTTAGTATATGATTTAATTTTATGTAATTCTTCTAAATAAAAATAGATATTTAACCTTTGAAAGTTTATTTGTTATAATTATTACTTACAAACATAGCATCATGTGGATTGCTGGTAGAAGGAAATATAGTGGGAAAATCTCAATTATGAAAATACTGAATAACTAAATATAAATAATAATAATCCAATAAGAATATCAATACATCATTGTTGAGGGTGTGTGTGTGGATATCCTTTCGATATTCACTGTTACACACAACCACCCCTAGTACAGAAATGCTTTGCTTCGCACTGCATTAGAAAAACATTAAAAAATGAATCTTATAATTTCTATTGATGTCATACTCATTGTTCACTAATAAAATTCTGATAGTTGCATCACTAAAGTTATAATGACCTATTGTGAATCCAATAAAAACATGTACCTAGACTAATAATATTCTTTCATACAACAACCAACTCATTTCATCATAATTCTTATAGAAAAATATATTAATACGTCTTAAATAATTTCATCAATAGTTAATACTTCACAACAAGTTACTATCTATAAAATAATCGGATTCTGATCGCTGATGTTCTTAGTAAAATACTTATAATCTTGTTGTTTTCCTTAGTCTTTCAGCATTTCGATAAAATTCATAATTATGCTGTAGATTAATATCAGTCAATTGTTGATGATTCAGATTTAGTCACTTATGAATAATTGGATATAATATTGATTGAACATTAAATTCAATATTTTACTGTAAAATTAGATGTTATTGTATTCAAATATGTACATTAATATTGTCGCATATTTGTAATAAAAATTATTGAAGACCAGTGATGTTTATTATATCTTTTGTATAGTTTCTTCGTAATATTAATAATTATTCTAATAAAACTTTTGTTTTTTAATTTAAATATGCTTTAAATATCTTCCGGATGAATATATCAATATATTTCATCGTTTTCTATACTGTGCAAGTAATTAACTAAATACTAATGGCAATTTAATATCTTTGTCATAGTGTGCAAGATAAAAATGTTATAAAAATAAACGTATTTCTTCTACTAAGCTTTTATTCAGGTTTAATTAAAAATTTCCTTTGATCTAATGCGCTTGTGCACGTGTTTTTGAGTATATTCACCACTTGCCAACAGGTATCATGCTGCGAGCATATTGAAATATTTCTATTAAGATAAAGTAGCTTTTAGTAATAGCTTAAAATAATCATTTTACAGAAAATCTAAGGAAATGATGATCAAATTCATAATAGAAAAGAGAAATAATACATAGTTCTATGCTAATTATCATATCGAAAGTAAAATAAGAAATTTTTATTTCAACAGATTCGATTCCATCGTTGTTCTAACATTAAAAAGAAATATATGCTGTTCGAATGAACTATTACTAGCATTTTCATTAATAAGTATGACAACTGGAGAGTTTAGTTATTGTGACATTAAAGTATTTACTCAACTTTTAGAAGTAATTGCTAAGAAATTTTATAGTAAAGTATATCAGCGCATAAGTTTGTATGGAAAGTTTAGAGATATAAGGCCTCTTTTTTTTATAGGACATTGTTTTCACATCACGTGTAATAATAATATAGATATA